TTTTTTTACGTCGAGGTCAAAGTTTGACCTTTAAAGGACTTCAGCCCAGAAAACACCAGAAGCTGTAGTTTGGCATTGCGGCCACCAGGTGGATGCTGTGTCTTAATCATAGGTCTGCAAGATGCTGATGCTTTTCCTCCCATGGCAAGCTAAGATTTATAACCAAGAGTTTTCTAGTTACTAACTATGATAATAATAACAATATAATAATAAAACATTTGTTTAAAATAGCTCAGGCAGTATTTTTAAATATTGTGTAACAAGATGTGGGACTTGGATTAGTTTAATAATTCTTAAAACATTCTGTTTATCTGGCATTTTGTATAATAAACACACCCTTCTTTAAAGGAAAAAATAAAATTACCAGTTGTTTTCACCTAGAGGAACTTTTAATGAGACACAGATTCCAGGGGTACCTTTGTCTTGTTTTAATTCATTCTCAGGTAGCTCTGCAAGTCTGTTTATTGTCAAAAGCTGCAGCTAGAGAAACAGCAGACTACCTAGTGCCTCTGGTACTTATCTAGCAATGGCAGAGGACCTGCTTTCCTTCCCAGTGTGAGAACAGCCTCCTGTCCAAGAGTTTTATTTCTGGTTCATTAAAATACATTTATTAATCTTCTTTACTGTCTTAAAATAAGATGTGGAATCCCTCTCCTAGTCCCAAGTTAAAAGGAGGTATCCCCTGATACCTGAGTAAAGGAAGAAAGCAGACCATTTTCTTAAGCCAGGTTTTTTTGCTTATTATGGAGGTTTCTTGTTAGTTCTTAGTATCAATAGTGATGAACCCTGCCATGATCATCCTTTATTTCAGATATTCCACACTAAAACCCAGTGAAGTAGTATGTTGTAGAACCCATATTTTTATAGATGAGAAAACTGAGGTTTTTGAGAGATTAAGCACATTGCCTTTAAGTGATAGAGCCAGAGTCTAGACTTTTTAGACAAGAAGTGGGGTGCTGGTTGGGATTTTAATTACAAAGAACTTAAAATAGAAAGATTGTGCCTCTTTCTCATAGAATATTTTGAGTATAAGTCTTAAGCAAACTTCAGACCTAAATTGGTTCACAGAGCTAAGGGGACCTGTAAGAAATTTCTCATTTCAAAGGAATCCAGTGTTTCTTTCAGCATTGTTTACCACTTCTCTCTCAAAAGTGAGGACATCTATAATCCCTATATGTATTTAGTTACTTAATTTAATTAATCACAATTAAGAGGTTGGTTAAATAAATTGTGGTGTTTTGGTATGATATGAAATACTGTTCAACCATTAATAAGAGTTATCTACCTTGATGCTTTCGAATGGAAAAATGACCTAAGATCATTAGGGAAAAATGACTTTAGGACCTTCGGGTAAAAAAAAGTAAATTGGCTAATACTGCTCCATGGTTTAAATGTTTTAAGATTATAATGTGTATTTTATTTTCTCTTCAAGTTGAATTTATTATTTTAATCCTCTAGTAAGATGGAGTTTATATACCAAAAGTCCTAATCTGGAAAATAATGCACTGCAAACTTAAAAAAAAAAAAAAACTTATTTATATATATAAGCACTAGGGGTACAGGCCACAGGCGTGGGACTAGGGTGGGGTGAGAGGATTCACCAGAGACAGAGTGGGAAACAGCACAGGCAGATTGACTGAAATACACTGCTGAGGGAGCAGTAAGTGGATCAGTAGAGGTCTGCCATGCCATGCCATGTGGGTCACCTCCCTGGCTGGGACTCAAACATGTGCTGCAGTGGCTGTGGATAGCTTCATAGTGCTACACTTTAACTGTTGCACCACCAGGGAGGTCTCTACAATGCAAACTTTAAAAAAAAAGATTGATTTATTTATGAATACAGAACTGGGGTATAGGCCAGAGGTGTGGAGGGTCAGAGTATTTACCAGAGACAGACTGGGGAGCAAAACAGGCATATCAATGAAGTACACTGCTGGGGGGAGCAGTGGGTGGGTTAGGAGAGGTCTGCAATGCCATATGGATCACCTCCAGGGAGGGATTGTTGAACTCATGCTGAAGTGGCTTTAGCTTCCTAGTGCTGTGCTTTAACCCACTGTACCACCAGCGAGGGCCCTACAATGCAAACTTTTAAGAATAGTTATTTCTAGGGGATGGGATTAGCATAAGGAGAGGATCTTTCACTTTTTGATTTGCTTCAATTATTTGTATTAAGTATGTGTATGTGTGTATTTAACTATAGTCCCATACTCTCCATATCCTCATAACTTATTTTATAGCTAGGAATTTGTACTTTTTAACTTTTCACTCATATTGCCATCCCTACCTCACCTAATCACCAGTCTGTTTTCTGGATTCATGAGCTAAGATGTTTTTAATATTGACTAACATTGGTGTACCACATTTTATATGATTCAAAGCCACAAAATCATACTCATTCATATGTTTGTTACTATACCACAGCCATTGTTTTGTTGCTTTTTTAGATTCTGCATTTAAATAAGATCATAAGGTCTTTTACCTTTTTTTGTTGTTGTTGCATTTGACTTTCTAGTTCACTTCCTTCACTTAGCATAATGCCCTCAAATTACACATAAGATTTCATTCTTTTGTATGGCTGAGCGTAGTCCTCTTTGCTTTGTGTGTATGTGTGTATTTTGTGTGTGTGTTATTTTATTTACCTTTTTATTCACTGATGAACATTTAGGTTGCTTCTGTAACTTGGCTATTGAGAATAATGCTGTCGTAAATAAACCTACATGTGCAAATAGCTTTTCAAATTAATATTTTCATTTTCTCCACATAAATACTTAGAAGTAGAATTTGTCTTATATAGTAGTTCTAAATTTTGAGGAACCTCTGCAGTAGCTACACTAATTTACCATTCCTGCCAACAATGGTCAAGGGTTGTCTTTTCTCCACATCCTTCTCAAAATTTGTTATTTTTGTGTTTTTGAGCACACCGATTCTTAACAGGTATAAAATGTTATCTCATTATATGTGTTTTGGGTTTTTTTTTAAAGATTTATTTATGCCTATAGAACTGGGGTACCAGCCGGAGGTGCAGGGGGTGAAAGGATACACTAGAGACAGAATGGGGAACAGAACAGGCAAATCTATTGAAATACACTGCTGAGGGAGCAGTGGGTGTATCTGGAGAGGTTTGCACGCCATGTGGGTCAGCCCCCTGGCCAAAGATGGAACTCATGCAGCAGTGGCTTCTAAGAGCTTCATAGTGTGGTGCTTTAACCTGTTGTGCTACCAGTGAGGTCTCTATATGTGGTTTTTTGGTTTTTTTTAAAGATTTATTTATTTTACTCATACAGAACTGGGGTACACGCCAGAGATGTGGTGGGTGAGAGGATTCACCAGAGACAGAGTGGGGAGCAGAACAGGCAGATCAATGAAGTACACTGCTGGGGGGAGCAGCGGGCGGGTCAGGAGAGG